AGGAACTGGCTTACAAATTAATGTGCACGATGTGGTCGCCAACTTTACAATGTATGATTTGTGTCTAAACAACTAGCAAGACCCACGAAGATGTTAAGGGCGATGTTCACTAGGTACTTAGATTATACACATTGAACGGCTAACTGTAAGGTCAGAAGTTTGAGCCCAACAGCCGCTCCATGGGAGGAACATGAGGCTGTCTACTTCCATAGAGATTTACAGTCTTGGAAACCCATAGGGGCAGTTCTATCTGTGAATCAGCATCAACTCCGATGACAGCAAGTTGATGGCATAATGCAGGGTTCTCAACCTGTGGGTCACGACCCCAAGGAGCGACCATGGCCAGGGGCATGACAGTGAACCTGCTCCCTTTTTAACTTTCCTCACAGGAGAAGGACGGGGCTCTCCGCTCCCGCAAAGAGTGCCCTCTCGGAAGTTCACAGGGCTGTCCGGGTCACTGGGAGTCGGCATCAACTCAATGGCTGTGAGTTTATTTTTTTGCATCTTAACCTTCCCTGGCTTCTCATCAAGGCGCGACCTGTCTGTTGCAGTGAATGCAAAGCAGGTGTCTGTACCGTGGGACCGTCACGGCGCGGCCACCCACCTCGTTGTTGGACTTCTGGGCCAGCAAGGTCCTCTCGTTGAGGACCATCCACAGGGCCGCCAGGAGCATCACGGCGCCGTGCCCGCAGTCCCCGAACATGACAGCAAACAGGAAAGGGAAGGTGATGATGGTGTAGGGTGCTGTGGGGGAGAATGGAGCCTGAGCACGCAGGGCGTCCGCAGGACCCCCTCACACCCCAGGACCTGCATGCTGGGTCCCTCACGCCTTTCTCCGACTGCCTTTACCAGCCCCACCTGCGACACCTGTCGGAGAGGACCCACAGGGCTTCCGATGCTGATTTCCCCCAAGAAGGCCCCTGGGTGTCTTCCGAGGCTCTCCAGATGGACACGTTGTACGCAGACACCACCACTCCCCTCTTGTTACGTGACTCCTGGGAGATCACAAAGCTTGGCTGGGCTTAAGGCCCGGCTTCCATCTCGCAGTGTGTCCTCTTCTCCTCACACTGCCCTCTCCACCTGCACCTTCACCTGCCAGTGCCCCTGGGGGCGTCCAGCCCTCCAGGCCCCTAACTGCAGGCCAGGGCTTAGACTGGACCTCACATGGGGGAGGGACAGCCCCAGGCCCTGCTCAGCTAAAGGAGTCAGAGTAGACCCAGGCCCTGCAACTAAAAGCCACTAACAAGTGAGCCTGTGGACCCAAGTTCTGAGTGTCCCCTTCACTCACAGTCACTCCAGTCCTGGGTGGCACGGTCAGCATGCCGCTAGTTCGAACCCCCCCAGAGGTGCCCAGTAAGAAAGGTCTGGTGATTTGCTTCCCAAAAGTCACATGGCCTTGAAACCGGATGCAGGGGTTCCACCCCTCCCATGTGGGGTCGACTCAGCGGCAGGTGGCCCATAAGTGGCCTCCATGAACTGCCAAAGGAAGCCAACAGCAGCCTGGCCAGGCTGTGTTGCAGGGAGAACCGAAGGAATCTTGACATCCAACAAAGCTTCAGCCCTTCAGTATGGACAGAAGACAGCACACGGCAGGCAGAGACCAGGGACACCTCGTTTCCACAGTTCACCCCCTGGCATCCACTTCCCAGCCTCCCATGGTGGGGCCCAGGGGTGCCAGGTACCTGGGTTTATCTCCCGGTAACTGCCCACGCCGTAGGCATCGACGATGTTCTGGAAGCCGGCTGTGAACTTATTGACCCTGTTAAACGTGGGTGGAGCTGTTTTAGACTGCACTGCCGTCAGGATAGGGGCCATGGCCGAGCCGCTCTGTTCCTGCAGGAAGGGCAGGGGCCAAAGTTCACGGT